ACGATCATTTTTTTAATGTATTATAATAAAAGCTAGAAAGCAGTGCTCCCAAGTACAGAAGTTTTGTTTCATTTTGGGCAATGAATACAGATCTTTGCCAGAAACCTCTAAAATATAAACTACATAGCCATTAGAATACAAATATTCTTATTTTTGCTATTACTACAGTATGTGATTTGCCTTAATAAAACACAACTGACTATAACTTAATCATCAAGAATCATTTAATGAGTCAGTAAATACAAGTAGATATAAAGTTATTAAAATAAGTTCTGGCTGACTTATTCAATAAAACAGCACCATAGATTACAAACACACACACACATGCATACACACACACATGCAGATGCACACACACTCAGATGCACACACATGCATGCATATGCACACACACACACACGCACACACACACACACACACACACCTCCATACAGAACCATTTTGACAGTGTCAAATAGAACATTTCCTTTGAAAATTTATCCCAAGTGTCTCTCTTTTCTGGCAATTAACCTATAAGCTTTCCTGTTTTTAAAATCTCTGTTACCAGAATTAAATGTTGACTGTTTTTCATACATTCAGCTTAAGTGAAAACAGTTTTATCTGTAAGCGTTATTACATATATCATGGTTACTAGAAGTCTCTGTGACACACAGGTGGTGGGTAGTAGGCAAGTCTCTGTCCATGTTAAAATGAATAATTTCTATATGTATTTTTGGATGAATGGAATTGAAAACTTTATTTCAATAAATTAAAGATGTTATGGTTCTCCAGATATGCTAAAGAATTGCAAATGCTGAATCCTCCAGTATAAAACAACTGCTGTATTGAAATGTTTCTACATGCAATATTCTACCTAAGGAGAAATGTGATCATTTTTTGTCTGTAGACTCCACTGTCTATATTATGGGAAGGATGTGTGTTCACACAGAAAAATTAGAAATTCTTCTTTATCATATATGATACTGAATCTCCTAATGGGCTAATCTAAAAAAGCATTCTCAAGGGGTGAAATGAAAGACCGTTCCATATGTCCATCTGTTTATGTCCTCAACCCACTTCTGATCACACTCTACCTTTCTCTGTCTGCAGACTTGGTTTTTGTGCAGGTCAAATTACCTCCTATTTCGTTGTATCTTTGCCCTGGCAGGATGCAGCACCCTGATTCCACAATTACACTGATTTTAGCCTCCACCTCTTTAACAACATCCTTTCTAACACAACACAAAGGCAGTTTTTAACTGATCTCATTACTCACAGAAGGATCTACATGGCTTGCAGGTGCATCATGAAAAACATGCATTTTCTTTCATGTATATGGATGCAACCTGCCAAAAGATTTCATATTATTGCTTACTTGGTGCAGTGTTTAAAAAGCAACAATAGGAATCAAGCTCATGCTTAAGTAGTAAATTTTAAGAAAATTATGAGCACAGTCACAGCTCAAGGATTTGGAAATGCTTCCATTTGAATTTTAATTTCAGTAAAGATTTATGCTTTGATTTATGTTCAATTGTCAGCAGCTCTTCAGTCTTTAGCATTGTATCACCATGTACTCTCCCACATCTACTGAACTAAAGTAGTTAATGATTTGCAAGGTATTTGTGTGCTTCAAATCAACTGAAGAGTTTTTAAAAATATACCTAATCCTCTCAAAACCTGTTATGTAAATCCAACATTCATTTTCGGTTACCTTAACAGACAAGGTAGGCTAATAGACATTTATGCATGGTCAAAGGCATAACTACTAATATTAAAGTAACTGTTATTATTTGATTTGTAAATTAAAAAAAATATTAACAAAAGTGGTTCAGTTTTAAAATTTTTATTGAAGTCTCATGTATTTAATACAGTACATTTTGATCATATTGAGATTCCCCCCTCTTTATCTAAACCTCTCCATAGCCCACCCTGCCAGATTTCATGCATTCTTTCATGTATGTTGAGGCCTATCAAGTTTAGTTTGTAACCCTAAATGTCCCTTGTTGTGAATCCATCCACAGGAGGCTGGTCAATCTATGTAGTGCCACATCCTTAGAGAAAATAAACTTCCCTTTTCCAGTAGTTATAAGTTGTCGATAGTTCCTCAGCTAAGATTAGAGCTTCTTACCCATGTTGCCACTTCTAAGCTGGGTTTTTGTTTGGTTTGAGTTTGCCTGAATCTTGTGCATGCTGTGACTATTGCTCTAAGCTCATGTAAACAAATTTCCAGCCACCTAGAAAACTATTTCTTTGTAGCCATCTGCAACCCTTGGCTCTTAAGTAAATCTCTGTTGTAGAGATTTTTCTCCTAATTTATCAGATGAGTTCCCAGGATTTAGAGACTGTGTTAATGTAACCCATGTGGTTCACTCTCAGAGAAAACACCAGAAACTGGAATTTAGGTTCATTTTACTGCAAAGCTGATGTCCCTTTCTATTCTTTTTAACATACTATGGTTGCTCACCTGCCTACTTTGTATCATTTTTGGAGTCCATGTGTCTTACAGAGTCTTACTTATCTGTGACAACTTCTCCAAAGCAAATCAAGGTATCCCTTCTTCGCCTGCCTCAGCTGCCCATCACAAAACTAACTAGGCTATGTTAAAAAAGATTTCTTGTTGGAAGAACCAAGAACATGAATAACTCTTTGTCTTGAACAAGATCACTGATTCATAAGGTCTAATGGCTTGATCTGTTTCTCCTCACATCTTTGGACATGTGGCCCATGTGCGCTTATCATTTGTACTAGAGAGCAGAGTTCAGACCACTGTCTCATCACACAGTAAAATGAGCTGGCATTGAGTAAGGAACTTCATCTATTTTCCAAGCAGTGATCCGCAAACATGGTAGTGTCCTTTTTTTTTTTTTACAATAAATATTATCAGAGAAACAGAAAAGAACTCAACAAAGTTTGGAACCTTCTTCCAGTTCTTCCTCTATACCACACTGAGCACTTAGCAAGCGTGCTACGTCCTAGTCACCTTTGACTGAATTCTATGCATAATAGTCGACGAGGAAAGTCAAAATTGGTCTAAAAACTAGACCAGTCTGTAAGTCAGGTTCAAACTTTAGTTCTCTGCTTTGGTCAAGCCCATATTAGTTTGCCAGGGCTAATAAAAATATTACTGGATGGGGGCTTTAAACAAAAGACATTTATTTTCACTGGGTTTCAGAGACTGGAAGTCCTAATTCAAGATTCCTTGGGGTTGCTTCTGTTCCTGAGGCTTCCTTTCTTGACTAACAGATAAACACCGCTAAACTGTGACCTCACATGCCCTTTCTTTTTTGTGTGTCTCTTATCCCTGGTCCCTCGTGTCTCTGTCTTCTGACAGTACTGCCAGGCTTGCTGCTTAGGGTCCACTCTTGTGACTACATTTAACCTGCATCTCTTTAAAGATCCTGTCTGTAAATACATTAACATTGGCCTTAGAACATCAATGTGTGAATCTGAGGGGAACACAAATCAGTCTGTAGCAATGCTCATTACACAAACAGCCATCAAATGAGGCAGGAAGAAGTCAGTGTTAAACATCACCTGCTTGGTAGTAAGTAGAACGAAGATGATGGCTTTAGCCTGAGATTCAACTCTGAAGCCCTGTTTTTCACCCTCAGAATTTCATTTTAAACTGGAACAATCTGGTACCTGCCTCCTAAGCTTTTTGTCAGTTATATTGATTTTGTATTATTAACATTGTTATTAACATTGTACAAAATGAAGGGTTTCATTATATTTTCACATATATTACATCATGTTCTTTGGTCATATTTGCAACCATTATCCTCTCTTGTTCCTTCTCCTTCCACCTGTAAGTCCTTTCCTCCTACCAAGTGTCACACACACACACACACACACACACACACACATACACACACAGAGTTGGGATTCTTCATGTAAGAGAGTATCTGTGATACTTGTCTCTCTGTATCTGGTTGATTCACTTGCTATGGTCATCTCCATTTCTATCAATTTTCCTGTAAATCCATTTCATTTTTATGATTGAATTAGAGTCCATGGTTTATTCATACCACATTTTCTTTATCTGTTTACCTGCTGGTGGGCACTTAGGCTGATTCCAAAACTTGGCTATTGTGAATGGCTCTGCAGCAGACAGGGCTGTGCAGTTGTCTCTGACAAGGTGACTTGGACTCCTTTGTGCATATACCCAGGAATGGTACAGCTGAATCTTGACTCTCCACTGCCTTAAATCCAGGTAGCTGTTAAGTTCAAAGAGGTGAGTGTGCACAGTAGTCTGAAGAGGTCATCAGACTACTGTGTATAATATTGTAGGTATGATGAAATATAAAAGATGGGGGAAATCGCACACTAAAAGAAATATTAACAGACAGCATTTTCCTTAATCATAAATTTTTATTTTCTGTAATAGTGAGGCTATGTCCACCGCATAGAAAGGCACTTTTGACTCTTAAATATTATGTAACTTAATTCATTGTTTGAACAAATTTTTATAGAGCATTTGTGTGCCCGCTATTGTCCAAGACGCTGTAGAGACAGAAATGGGCAGAAATTGATGTCTCAAGAAACTTACATTCTAGATTTGATATATGTCACGGTCACATTTAACACTCATTTTAGGAACTGGGTGCAATGAGACACATTAAATAGGAAAAACAATCCATTTCAAACATCATGCATTTAGCTGTTGATGATTAAATATTGTAACTTGTGGTCTTCTGACCAGCAAATGCACGGAGCAGCACAAGCTCTGGGGCCTGCTGGATGGGCATCCTTAATGCCGTGATAAGTGAGACCCAAGTTTGGGCTTGGATGGCCAGGCATTAGGGCTGGCTTGCAGCTCAGCCCGGCCCCGCCCTGCCAGTCGCTTGGCGCGTGGTGCTGAGGGAGTGGATCTGGCTGCTTGGCCACTGCCTGCACCGCGCCAGGTTGCTGGAGCACAGGGACTGGGCTTTGAAGCTGCGCTGCACCTGTGGCCGCTGGCTTTGCTTCCTGCCTCTGCCCGCGCCCCCAAGACTCTCAAGTTTTCGCAAGTTTCGGAACCTCAGGCTACTGTGTGAGTGACAGTGGCTTAGGCTGGGTGGCTCCAGGGCCACGTCACCTGTGTGGCAGCCTCACACCAAATCAGAGGGCTGCACTCACCGGGAGCCCCAGTGTTACCCGCAGCTCCTGTGGATTAGAACTCTCTTCTCGCTCCTCCCTGCAGTCCCATTTAAAGCTCACTCTGGCTTTGAAGGAAAGAGTGGGCTCAATGTCTGCAGCGTTTTCTCCCATCTGCAAGATGGTAAGTAAGTAGGGCGCTGGGCTTAGCTAGTCTTCTGGCAGAATCTGGGGGCTCAAAACGCTAGAAAACTGCACGTAGAATTTATTCCACCTGAGGAGATGCCTTTGCTACTTTCCCATTAAAACAGGCTATTTCAGCTGCCCTGCGCCCCATTACCCTTTACTCTCTCTCCTGCTCTCTCTGCCTCCCCCTACTTTCCTCCCCGCTCTGCACTAGCTTTTCCTCCCACCTCTTCCTCCAGATTATGCACATATTTGCAAACACTTGGACTTGAACTACTCTAAGCGTATTTGGAGTTTGTTTTCCTCTCAGGTGTCAATTGCATAATACTTAGCTCTGATTCCATTAATAACCTCAGAGGAGTTCACAAACATACCTTTAGAATAAAAGAAAATAGTACTTGATCAACTTTTGGCTGAATTTCTTTGGTCACACTGCCCAAGCTTCACTCGCTTCAGAAATGAACTTTTACAAAAGTTAACTCACCGGGAGCATCAACAGAGTGTGGCTTGACTGGATTCCTCCTCCCCCTCTTCTCTCTCCCTCCTCCCTCTCCCCTCCTTCTCCTCCTCCTCCCCCTCCCCCTCCTCCCTGTCCCCTCCTTCTTCTTCTCCCCCCAACTCCCACCTTCTCCTCCTCCTCTCCTCCCTCTTCCTCCTCCTCTCCCTCCCCTCCTCCATTTTCTCTATTTATGTTATGCCCAATAAAGTCTGCAGGTCAACAACAGACTTTTAGTGGTCAAATGATTTGTCCAAACCTAGACTGTGCTGAAATGAATGGCTTTTACCTGATTAAACATTGACACATAATTAAGAAATGGTTGTTGAACAACTTAACTCAGGAAGACAGCCTACCTGCCCCTGCTTGGACATTTGGAAGGCTATGTTTGAGGCTTGAGGAGTAAGTGGGGCAGAGCAGGAGGGTATTCACTGAATCAGAGCACAGTGGAGAATGAATGTCAGGCAGTTTGTGGTGGCAATTACCTTTGAAAGGGTATTGAGCTTGAGTGATGGAGTCTGCTGCCTTTGCTCTCAGCTTTGACAGAGTGTTTACTCAGAATGATGCTGTGTTCCTGTGATTGGAGTTGGGAATAAAATGTATGTAATCACTTTGTATACATATAGACATATATGTGCATGTCCATTCAGATCATGATAAGATCTGCTACCATCTTAGACTGGAGGGAAGGGAGGAACAAGGTACATATATGATTCAGAAACTCAAATTAGGAAGTTATTTACTCAATATGATGTCTTATAGATTGTTCATTTCACCATTTGCTGTCTTGTCTGCCAAGGTTATTAGAAATACAACCAAGATATTTACTACAGAGAAACAAACAGTTCTTGTATCTTTGAATCATGAAGTCTAATTCTTTTTACTTAATTCTTTAGTAGTTTATTAGATGAGTCAGGTAAGGAACTAGGGAATACTACTCTGATATTTACAAATTTGGTCCATTCAATATTAGTTCTTTTGTGAAAAGACCAAAGGAAAGGAGGGGGTAAGCCAAAGAGCTTAGCAATCATAATCATGCTGTTCAAATATTCTCCTGTACCTATCACTAGCCTGTTAATCTGGTTCACCACATGTAATTCCTGTATGTTTCTCCCACCTTTCTCTCCTTCCAATTCCCATAATTTCATCTCCCACCCCATCATACTGAATTTCACAGAATACCATTCTGCCTTGCCAAGACCAGTATTTTGTAAGAAGCCAGAGTTATAATTGCCCGTATTCCACTACAACGTCAGAATCTAGTGTTGACGTTTCCAAGGAGACTTGGGTCTCTTTCTGGGCTGCTGGTCTCCTGGACAACAGTGAGACCCAACAAGCACCACAGGCACAGGGTAAGTTCTGCTCTTCTGCCTTCCCTGTAGAACGGGGCCTTTCCCCAGCCCCTTGACTGCAAAGCATCATGGACAGGGACTCTCTAAGAAAGGGGATACTACAGAAAATTTAAGTAAGCCCAAAGACTCCTGAATTTCATAGCCATAAAAACTACCATTCTGGACTTGTCAAGCAGAAGGGATGAAATGCTTCCTCTTGAGTCCTAGAAAAATTTGTGTGTTTCTCCCTACATTTTGTAGTTCTTGGGGATTCCCAACTCATTGAGTAACTGCCCCCATGACAAAGTTTCATAAACAACACTTTAGTAGGATGCTTTTGGAATCTGAATAACAGAGAAAATTTATTTTGTCATTCAGTGAAATTCCTGTGACTATGAAAGAAAATCAAGAATGAAAACCTTAATGCAGCACAAATTCAGTGAACCTCATCAATGGGAACACTCATTCCCTTTTGCACACACACACACACACACACACACACACACACACTTCAACTTTGGAGAGCAGTTCAACACTCGTGGAAATTACACACTGTTATTCATTATTCTTACACATATTAGAGGACTCTGCATTAATGCTCAGGTTTCTGTAAAAATCTTAAACACCTCAGAATTAAGTGTCTGTGCATTCTTTCTGCACTATGCTTTTTCTGGGACTGAGGGAAGGTTCTTATGAAAAGATGCAAAGCAACAAAATCTAAAATGAATGAAATACCTATGTCATGGAGGAAATTGTTCAGTTTTATCTTTTATTAGAAGAAAAAGCAAAATGGAATGGTTAAGAATTTGGACCCAGATTGTATAAATTTTTATTTTTATCTCCATACTTATAATTCTACAGTAATACAAAATGCTTCAGTAACAGCAGTTTAAATATAACAGATCAATAGTCACCTGGTTAAGAGTCAGAATGATACTGGTGGAAGGGAAGAAAAGCTAAAGTAATTTAGCATGCACAGTTTTTGATTGAGGAACAAAGCTTGCTGTCAAACACAAAAATAAAAATGTCTTGGAAAAAGCATTTAAAACACACACACACACACACACACACACACACACACATATACAGATCAGTTATGGGCACAGTAGTGAGATGTTCGTGAAAGTCTTCAGAGAGACAAAGAGAATATTGATTTATTTTTGTCTCTTTTTTTTTTTTTGGAGCTGAGGACCGAACCCAGGGCCTTGCGCTTACTAGGCAAGTGCTCTACAACTGAGCTAAATCCCCAGCCCTGGGAATATTACTTTAAAATGGAAAAAGGGGTGGGATATTTGCTCACATAGAGCCCGTCACGAGCTTTTGCAAGATCCTGTTTTTGATAACCAGAATCAGTCAATCAATCAATCAATCAATCAGTCAATACTGGAAAGAGTTATCACACTACCACATAGCATTTTAAATGAGTTCTGCATGTAAGATTTCACAGGGAGACAAACTGAAGGGGAACTGATAGCTTTACAACAAAGGGTTTGATTATGGAGCCAAACATACTGTTATCTAGGGCTGAAGTTTGGAAATAAGACCCACTAGAAAGGGGTGATGACACCGCAGTGCTGTGCCTAATGGAGAGGCAGAGTCAATACACATGCCAATGATGCACTGATGCCAAAGACACTGCCTTCATTTTAACCAGCAAAGGATGTTCAGTATATTAGGGTCTGAGAATGCATCTCTTCAGCCGCTTGTATATACAGTACAAAAATATGTGCCACATTGTACTTCCTTCTTCTGAAAGCTTTCAATATTTTGTTCTCCTAGGTGGAAGCAATAGCTATGTTTAGAAAAGTAATCAAACGTTTTGAATTCTAGAAATTATTTTGTAAGTATACGTAACCCAAATCACAAGTGTGCTTTCTCATTTGTTTTGTATTCCCTCTTAGAATCCTCCTGCGACTTGAATTTCCCTGTTCTGGAATCATGTTCATGGGAAGAGGCACAACTTTCCTCTCAGCTCTACAGAAATAAACAGGTGTGTGAGGATAGTCAGGACACAGACTGACCACATTGCAGAGAGTCCATTGTCCTTTATGTCATCCCTTTATTTCACATTGCTTCTTTCTCTTTTCAAATTCATGTTGACTCAGAGTAGGAAAAAAAGTGGGTATATGTCCAAGGAGAGGTAAAACTATAGCAAAAAATATTTGTCTAAAGAGACATAAAAGCACAACCAAAGCTTTAAGAAAATCTATACTCAAGCCTTTACTTCACCAAATTTTGGCTATACAAACCTTTAATTCCTCATTTTTTTTAAATCTGTGAAATTGGAGTATTTCTACAGCATATTTCAGAGGGTTTGTTAGAAAGACCAAATGACGAGTACAATTTTATTTTAAATGCTAACCATACTTATCTGTGGGAGGAAAAGTGGTGATTATGAAGGTTTTCTCAAAGGTCACTTCATGATTTATTTGTGATTGTTCACAAAGAGCAATTTCATCTAGTGGGCAAACAGGAAGGTCAACCTGAGACTGGAAAAGGCCAGGTCAGATCTTTTGTTTTTCTTTTCATAAATGTGCAAGAAGCCCAGCCAAGCCTTCTAACATCCTTTCCTATATTTAAATAGCTGCATGCAGCTCATTTTCCTTCATATCTACCTGACTCTCTGTGGTTACAGTTTTAAAAGTCATATGAGCTCTTCAAATACTTTGTAATGAATGAAATATTCAATGCAAAAAACTGAACAATCAAGTGGTAGTGGCTGTAGGTTTAATTTAGGAATCTGAGGACCCAGGACTCTTTGAAATTATGTTCATAAAACAAACAAGTTTAAGAAGACTGGAAAGTTGTACGTTATTATAAGGTTACAAAGTCAATATAGGGGAGCACCCTTCACCATTGTCTGCTTCTTGCAGCTCCAAGACACTCTGGTACAGAAGGAGGAAGAACTTGCTAGGCTACATGAAGAGAATAATCACCTCAGACAATACCTGAATTCTACTTTGGTTAAATGTCTGGAAGAAAAAGCCAAGGTGTGTAATGATCTGTTTTACAAGTTCAGGACAAGTGATTTGACAGAAGTGATTACTATGTAAAACTCCTTGGTTAAATACAGGACGTATACTAAACAAGGTGTCTTCATAGGAGTTCATGGGACGGATAATTTTCCTTACATAATTTTATATATCACTTATCAGAAGTTTTTTGTCTTCACACTTCAACTGGACGTTACAAACAAATTGATTAAGAACAAAAGTTAGTAAAAGGATTGATAAAACAGGTTATTCAAAGGATGAAATACTGGAGTAAAAATCATACATAAAAATATCACTTGTTTTAATTATCTGTTTGACTTTAACTAAAATCCTTTTTTCTAGGGCCTTGATTATCTTCATCTGTAAATGATGGGCTAAGATATATCCATGATCCCAATCCAGGGAAACGTGCTGCCTGCAGGACAGTGTTCCTACCTCAATTAACCTAATCAAGACATTCTCTCTCAGGCATCCCTAGAGGGATTCAGTCTCCAAATTAATCTAGGTCTGACAGAGTTAAAAACTGTTTCTGACAGTTGCCTAGGATTCTACAAATCAAATTGTTCTATCTTCTGCATTTGTTAGCATATTAATAATGCTCCTCAATAATTATATCTCACCTTTCTTATTTAAGAGATGAAGTCACAGAACGGCAGTGCTATAGATGAATTTGGGTTTTGGTTACTAGCTGATTATCTGATAAAGCAGCAGTGTGAAGGAAAGGGGAAAAAATCTCTCTAGGGATGGGTAGATGGCTTATTTGGTGAAGTGCTTGCAGTGCATACATTAGTACCTGACTCCCCAGTCCTCACATAAAAGGTCAGGCACTGAAGCTTTTATCTATATTCCCAGCATTGGGAAGGTAGAGGCAAGCAGATCCCTGGAGTTAGATGGCCAGCCATCCTAGGCAGATCAGTGAGGAGTCTCTTTCTGAACAAAGTAAGTTGGAGAGTGATAGAAAAAAATACCTAACTCAACCTTTGGCCTACCCACCTATACATGCACACACGCACATGTGTATGTGCATGTATAAGCACACACACACACACACACACACACACACACACACATACCACAAAGACTCTCTCTGGTTTTGAAGTGCTATTAATATACCTGGTTTCCCAGTGTCTCCACTGGTGATGAGGGCCATAAAATTACACTATTGCTTATTCACATTTTCCCTGCACTCTTAATTGATCCATTTTGAACTCAAGAGCAAACAACTCTCCTCTCCTGCAATCATTTTTTGGTCTTCTTCCATTTTTTCAGATTTCAGTATCTATTATTGTCATCACTGCTTCTGTTCTCTGCACATTGGCCAATTGTAAGTTTCTGTGTTAATCAGCATCTGCTGCATAAGGAAATGTCTCTGGTGAGAGATGAGAGATACATTCATCCTAGGTGTAGAGGTTCAATTGTAGATGTGTCACTTAAGGTTAAACATCTCACAGACACTCATTCTCTGCATTTGACCAGTTGTGAGCTCTATAATAGTGTCTATGTCTTACAAAAAGAAGCTTCTTTGGTAAGGGGCAAAGGCACACTTGTCTGTAAACATGAGCATACATATTTAGAATAAAGTATGAAATTACATTGATCTAGGGATGTAGCAAAAATAGGTTTTTCTTTAGGATCTACTATCTCTCCAGCCATGTGTATCTGGCCATTTACAGTATCACACATGAGTTTCTTCCCATTGAGCAGGCCTTAATTTCAATTAGATAACTGTTGATCACCACCAAGATAAAAGTGCCACTACTGTACCAATATAGATATTCTTTTCAGGCAGTCATTATTGTTTATTAGGCTTTACAGATGGGTAGGATGATTGATTGGTTTTCTCCCTTGGTAGCTTGTGCAGTATTCTCTGGTAACATAAGAGCTAGTTTTAGGTCAGTTCCAGCTCAATTGCTGGAAGTCCTGTGTCCAAAGTGGGGCCTGTCTTCAGCAATATGGTCTTAACTTCAAGTCCTGGGAGGAAAACAAAGGCTGTGGCAATAGCCTGTGTTATTTTGGGAATCTCTTGGACTACCATGACCAACACTGATTTGAAATCTTAATAAAATTTTATATTAATTCTTTGAGATTTTCATTCAATGCATTTTAATAGTTCCCCCTCCCCCAAAACATACTGATTGACCTTCGCCTCCCTACCCTCCCAACTACATGTTCTTTTTTTTTTCTCATTAGTCCAATTTGCCTTTCCCAAATACTCTTGAATGTGGAACCTGCCCTAGGGTACAGTCGACCTACCAGGGGTCACATCCATGATGAAAATTGACTCTTCCTCTTCTAGTAACTATCAGTTGCCAATAGCACCTTAGCTAGGGTTGCCCACCTTCCCCCTCCATGCTGGGATTTTGTCTGGCTTGAGCTTGTCTTGTGCTGTTTCAATTGCTGTGAGCGCATATGCACAACTTCCATGTTGTCTATGGAAAACAATGTTTCCTTATGTTCAACCACCACTTCTGACTCTTACAATCTTTCTTCCCCCTCTTCTGCAAAGATCCATGAGCCTTGGGGATAGGCACCTGATACAGATGTCCCATTTAGGGCTGAGCACTCTAAAATCTCTTATTCTGTGCATGTTGAGTACCTGTAGATCTCTGTGATAATTGTCTTCTACTGTGAGAAGCAGCTTCTCTGATGAGGGGTATAGTAGTAATCTATGGGTATAGCAGTAAATCATTAGGAATTATTTTAATGCTGTCTCTGTTATTAGACTATTACTAGCAGGTTCTCCCGTAGCGCCCATGACAAGTCCAGCCACAAGCTCTTGACCCCGATGACAGTGCCAGGTATGGGCTCCACCTCCTTAAGAAGGTCTTAAATCCAGAGTGGTGGCTGATTACGCCCATTACATTCATGCTACTGTGGCTGTACTTGGCATATATTAGGATTGAAATCTTAAAGACATTCATCTGCTCCATTCAACTTTTAAAACTTTAGGAAACAGGGGCTGGAGAGAATGTTCAGCATTTATGAGCACTGGCTGCTCTTGCAGAGTACCTGGTTCAGTTTCCAATACCCACATGAGGATACACAACCATCTGTAACTCCAGCTCCAGGGGATCTGACACCTTCTTTTGACACGTGTGGCAATTGCATGGCATAGGTGCACTTACATACATGGCAGGCAATATACTCATACACATAAAATAAAAATAATAAATAAAATGTATTTTTAAATTCAGGAAAGAATATGAATCAAGATAACAACTTATCGAGAATTTTTACTGAACAAACAGAAGCTAACTGATCAGTTTTACTTGTGTAGTGAAAAACAAAAATTTAGTAATTTTTTCTAAGCAATCAGGATAGACAATAAATATTTGAAGGAAGTGTAATTTTCAAATATCGCTTTTCCAGAAATTGCTGTCATCAGATGAGTTCTCCAAAGTGTATGGAAAATTCAGAAAAGGGAAGAGGAAACCCAAAGAGCAGAGACATTTTCCTGCTGAGATTCCCCAGTCCAAAACTGCCAAGAGAAACCTCTCTAGGGAGTTCTCTGATGGTGAAGAACAAACTGGGCCCTGTGTGGACCCCTGGGTTCTTCAAACTCTTGGGTTGAAAGACCTCAACACCATTGATGACACACTACCAGCTAACTACAGTGCCCTCCCCTGTCATCCCAGAACATTCCCCAGTACATCCTCCCAGTTTCTGCATGATGCGGTTGGTTATGCAACTGCCACCAGAGACGTGCAGCTTGACTATGGAGGTGACAGTATACTCACTTCACAGAGCACTGCCAGCCACCAGGAAGAGCGTCACTATTTTCCTCAGCTTTCCAATTCTCCAGCAGAGGTGCAAACTTTTCCTTACCACACTGCTGATGTGTCACCCAACAAGACAGAGGTGGCCTTTTCCACATCTCTGAGCCCTCACTGCAATGTGAAAACTCATTCCTTCCACCAGGGACAAGCTTTTGTGCGTCGAGATGTGGAGGGAGGCTGGAAGTTTACCTGGGTCCCAAAGCAGGTTTAGTGACCTGGCTTCTATTACAGAGCACTGCCAGGAACTCTACTTATGAAGACCTCTTGAACTGTGACTTGACTACCTGGAACAAAGCAGCCTTTGCCAGACTGCTTCGTGCCTCTGTCAGTGTTCTTTGGGGTGACATACTTAGATCTCTAGGTTGTGGTTATCAAGAGTCCATCCTGACAGGTATCAACTCTTCCTTCACTCAGATTTGATTTGTTTACATGCCTTCCCACGCCCACAGTTTGTTTCCTCTGTTGGTCCTATGCTTGGGAAGGTATTTTCCAATGATATGTACATTTCTTCAAGGCCTACATGTACTTTTCCAACTGTTTTAACACATTGCTTCTTTTGGTCAAGTAGTTTAAATGTTGCTTCTCTTCTCCCTCTGCTTGTCTTTTGTGTCTAAAAACAGCCTTTAGCAGGATCTCTGTTATTGCTCCACACTTGTTACTGAATGTTCATGGATCTGTGTGTTTTCTCTTCAGCACTGCTGAAGATGTAATCTGGATCTGAGTCCAGGGCAGTTCAAAGAGTTGAGTACCCCCCAGTGATGTCAGCCAAAGTCTCTTAAAACAACACTAACTTCACTAATGAGCCATACCACTGACAAATTACAACTGTCAAAATTGGAAAGTTTCTTTAAAATGCTCCATGGTGTGTCACTTTCTATTGGCTGTCATCATTTCTCTGAACGATGTGGTTCAACAAGAATAGTTTTGAGGGATGGTAGTTTATAAAAGTAAGCAAGTTTTCCTAAACTATGTAGATGCTGGCAGTCCTGCTACCAGAAATGCAGTAATCCATTGTATCCTTGTCATTGTATAATTCATTCAGCTGTTCATCCTTCCTTCCTCAGTTTACTCACAATGTTTGTCGAATGTTTCATATCCATCTTGGATGAGTCCCTAGACTGAGAACTGAGTATCTGCTGTTAACTTTGAGGAAGCTACATCCCTTGTGTGAGAGTTCAGTTTTTCCAGCTCTAGAATATGGAAGTTAGATTAGGTCATTTCTCAGCTGAGTGTGAGTCCCATCAGCTTTAGTACAAGAAGTCATCCCAGGCTACTCTTAGTTTTGATGGGTGCTGCAGATATTATATACACAACTAAAACAAAGAAAAATAAATATGAGCAATATGTACTTAGCATTAGATATTCTTATTTTGATTCACTGTTCTTTAGTATGAACCCATTTTGTAGGTTACTTTCATCTGGCTTGGAGTAACTTGCATCTAAAAATAGATACATACTAATTTTCAAACAACTATACATGGATTGAGTCCAAATATTGATATTAAGGATTCATCCATTCTAAATTAGGGAAAAAAAAAAAACCCTAGTGTTCATGCTAGCTTGCTTATTTCCTCGCTGTCCTATTGTTTCCAGAATAAAGTGTGCATCCTGGGTATACCTATGGTTTTTTGCACACAGCCCATTTCCATTTTTCTCATTCCCATTCCTTATCAATATCACCTTATACAATCAGTTTTGGACATATGAGCTGTTTGGAATTCTTTGTAAGAAAAAAGTCATTCCCTTTGCTTTTATCTTTGTTTTCTGCTACTTTTATTCATGAGAACAAAGGATCTACTTTGTGATTTTGTATCATCACTGAATTGGTTATTATCCATGAAAGGGACTCTAATATGGGAGCTAATAGTCTCTGGAGTATTTTCATGAGTTAGGAAAGGTTATTCCTTTAAGAAATCTTTAAGTGCCTTTTACATTCTAGTTATCCATACCTCTGGTGGGTGACATTTATCTTTTTTAGGATAGAAAACTCGAACATTAGAGTTGATCATATGCTACTCTACTAGGAATTAGATAAACAATAATTATTTTGAACATCTAATAATCAAATAGAAAATGAAATTAGTTAGCAAATATTCAGCATTGTTGAAATGCTGAATTATGCAGTGTTTTATTTAACAGGAGGAAATACCCATGCTTAGCATAGTACATTTGGTACATAAAAAATAAACACATAAATATTGAGAGCTTTTAAATGAAACTTGGACTCAGCCTAGTTTAAAAAAATTGCATCACATTGATAAATTGTTTGGGCTCATATTATGAATGATAATATGGGAGAAAATTACTACATATTCTTGAAATCATATCTACAAATAATCAATATTTATTTGAGTTAAATATAGAAAATTATTTTGTTGATGTTAAAAAATTTGAAACTTCCTTCATCTGAGTATGTGTTCTGATTTTGTGACTTTATCATGTTACTCCAGTGATAGTAAACTGGTTGATATTTTGTGATGGTAAATTAAGAAATAAAATCTAAATTTTCCCGTGACTGAGATGAATGCTTTCATGTTGTGCATAATATTTTCCAACAATGTATTTTCTACTATTGTATTGTAACATGGCCCTCTTCATTGAATGAATTTTCTATTATATTTATAGTTGGATTATTACCTATAGAATTTAAGAATTAATAATTCTTTCCTTCTCCAGGTACACAAATTAGGCTTTCAGATAGATATTCAGTACCTACAAGATCAAATGTCTAATGGAACTTATGGCATTCTTGTACCTAACCTCACATGAAATTTGAATCCAATATTGAATTTCAGTGATATTTCCTGTATGTTTCTCTCTGTGTTTGTCTCTGTATCTATCTCCATCTTTCTCTGTCCCTCCCCCGACCCCTCACCCCCTACAGAGATTGGAGCCAAGGCCTTATTCTTGCTAGGCAAGGACTCTGCCACTAAGCCAAATTACCGACTCTTCTCATGTCCTTTATCATCTCAAAACAATTTCTTCTTGTATCTAACTAGTAGCTGAATCTAAGCACAATTTGAAATCCTCAGCTATCCAATGACATTTAATGAACAGGATTGTTTAAAGCTGCAATGGTGCTAAACCATAATTCTAAAAACATTTAAGAAAAGAATCTGAATCAGTAGAAATAATTGTTCAACTTGGTCTAATTCAAAGAAGCAGAATATTTACAAAGCATGAGAAGTAGATTCAGCATTCCACACAATTACACAGACACACACAGGTGCACAGCCATACCTAAGAACACAGATGCACAAAAGAACACAGACAGACAAAGTTACACAAATGTTCAGAAGTATATAGAAGCACATAGGTACACAAGCATACACAAGTACACACACACACACAAATACACAGAAGCATGTAGGTACACAGACATATACAGGTACACAGACACACACAAGTACAACAGAAAGTATAGAATTAGTACATCCAGTGGCAATTTTTATGTGTATTATTTCTTGCTTGTGAAGTAAATATATACAGTTATATATTTGTCTTAGTTCTTTAAGAATCACATAAGATTAAATAATAAATTCATTATTTTTCTTTATTTATGAATAAACCAAAGTAGATTTTAAGCTACAAATACATGTAACGATAATGCTTTACACTATTTTCATATTTTATTTACATTTTTGTACATGAGCATAAATATTGTTTCAGTTTTTCCAAAGGATATAGACAATGACAAATGTAATTTAACACATTTTAAGTGCCATGATTTCTTTGTGATGGAACTATTTTTAATTGTATAAGTCAATTTTGTAAGGAATCTATGACTGATAAATAAATTATATAATTTATTTCATTCTCCTTTAGCCCTTTATTTTTATTGAATTTTTGTGATCTTCATACAATATAATTTGATGGTATTTAGATCCGCTACCTTATCTGCTCCACCCATTACTCCCCCCCAATTTAATGTACTATATTTATACATGTAAGGCCTATAGAGTCTTGTGTCCCCACATGCCCTTAGTTGTAGGGTCCATTCACTGGAGGCTTGTTAATCTACCAAGAGTCACATCCTTGAAAGAGACCATCTCTTCCCCTCCCAGCCTCCCAGCAGCCTTTGGTTGCCACAAGTTCCTTAAGATAGGTTGGGATTTCTTACCTACTTCCCCATGTCTATGCTGGGATTTTTTCTGGTTTGAGAGATTGCATAAGACTTGTGCATTGGATGGGGTCACCATTACTGTGAGTTCTTATGAATAACTGACCAGCTATCTGGAAAACTCCTTGTGGACAGCAACCACCTCTGGCTCTCACAATCTTTCTGCTGTCCCTTCCACAATGATCACTGGATCTTGGGATGCAGAAGTTGGTTATAGGTGTAGTATTTAGGAATAAGCATTCTTCAGTCTCTTGTTATCTTCACATTAGCTTGTTGGTGGGTTTCTGCATTAATCACAATCTTCTGGGTAAGCAAACATTGCTAGTGAGAGTTGAGAGATGCATTAATCTATGGGTATAACAGTAAGTCATTTAGAGTCAGTTTATAACTATAACTATTTAGTAGAAAACTGATATTAGGTTCTCCTCTATGCCCAGTGACCTGCTTAACCTCAGGTTTCTAAGCTGATATTAATGTCAGGTAAGAACTCCATTCTATGAAGTAGATCTTAAATCCAATTAGAAAGTTATTGGTTATTACATAATATTCATGCCACTACTACACCAATGGGCATAACATGCTAGATTAGTTGCTGTTGTAGTTCACAGAATTTACAGGTGGGTAAGTTAGATGAGTATTATTTCTTTCCTTTTGATACCACGCATAACAACATCCAACACTATGAAAGCTAGCCAGTAGAGATGAAGCCCTGAAGTCAGCACAAGTTTGATTTCTCATTTTTTCTACACCTCATATATGAAGTGTCTTCAACAATAGGATCTTATCACCAAGTTCTGGTGGGTAAACAAGAGCAGGGGCAATGGCCAGTATTGTTTGAGGGTCTATGAGACCCTTGGTCAACAGCTTCTAGAGTAGGGGGGTCCATTCCTTCATTGATGTTTTATTTTGTTAGCTTATGATGTCTAGAAGGGACAATGCCCCCCTCCTCATTGTAAAGCAACTTCTTTAAATCTTGTTTATAATGTGTATGCATGTTTTAAGACGTTTCCATAGTGGTAGGTTTCCATATGACTTTTCCTAAAGTTTTACTTACCCTACCCACATTTCCTCCTCTACCTTGCCCTCTCATT